TCCGTAGACGTTCCGTTCCGGATACAAAATCATCCATATAGGTGTTATTCTCAATGTGTCTAGTTGCTGTAGGATATGCTTGTTTGTGTTTTGTAGCCAATTCACGAAGAGAAGCTGCTAATAAAAATGGACTAGAGACGAGTCCAAATGGAAGACGTGTGAATCGATAGGTTACAATTTTATCTTCAGTGCAGAGTTTCCCATCAGGAGTATATGTAGTATTGTACCAAATAAATCGTGTTGCATCTCTGTCTTCTTCTGCTAGAATCAGCTGCAGAAATGCTTGTCGCCCATCACTAGTGATTGCTATTTTAGAAAGTCGAAATCTCAACAATGTGGCTAAGATATCGGGAAGAAGATTTGGTCCTACTTCAAGAGCGTCGTTCAAAGATGGGTGACCTGGAGAATGTGAAGATGCATCAAAAACTATACGCCACTTAGTTTCTCCATTTGTGATTTTCTTTACAGCGTGATGGGGCAAGTAATATAAACCTTCCTCATTATGTGTTTCTGAGACAACTTCAACGTGTTTTTTATCAATGTAATCTTGCATGTGCTCAATATATTTTTCTTTGAATTCTGAATTTGCATGCATTTTCCTTGTTAAAGATTTAAATCGTTGAATTGCGACTTCATAATTGTTCGACGAAAGTTGAACTTCTGGTTTCCAAGGCAATTTTACAACTCTTCTACCATCGATGATTTCAAAAGATTGATGAAAGTTCGTCAAGAGTTCAGAGTTGTGAGGACTTATTTTTTCTTGTGTTGGTTGCATGCCAATGCTCTCTAAGTTCCAGACATTTCGTACCACATTATCTAATTCCTGAGTTGAAGTATCCACATCAACATTATGAACCGTTGAAATGAAGGAAACTGTCGCGTGTGATCGAGTTCCACTAAGTACCCAACCAAAACTTGATGGGAGCAAGGCCAGAGAATCCGACAACCTGACTGGAGCTTCAGAATTCATAACAATCCAGTAGAAATCTGCACCGATTAGAATCTCAATTGGTAAGTTCGAAAATGAATCATCTGGATCAGCAAGTTTCATTCGCTTGTTTTTAGCAAAGAGTGAAACATCCGTTGATGAAGGTAGGTGTGATGCATATTTGTTGGAGCTTTCAAATGCAGTAATATTAACTTTAGATTTGTCCCAGATACTTGATAACTGAAATTTGGCTTGTCTTTGCTTGTATCGACATTAGCTGGGGATTCGAAGGCTTGAATGTCCAAATGTCTAGTTGAAATGACTGGAAATTTTAAAGTATCCACAAGATTAGAAGAAACGAAACAAGATTGACTTCCAGCATCTAAAAGGCAACGTGTCAGCTTTGTAATGCCAGTGGGCCCAGTTATGAAAACTCGTGCAGTTTGCAAATGAACGAAACTGGAAGGCGATACATCAATTTTGTTTATAGATGTAGCCACAGGCTGCTCATTGGTTAGAGGTTTGCATATTGATGTATAGTGCTTTCTCTTGCATTTGGAACAGCCAAAATTTTCTCTACGATGGCAATTTTTTTTGGTATGTCCTCGGTTAGTGCACAAAAAACATCTATTACTAGTCTTCAATTTCTGTATGCGCACGTCTATGTCCGTTACAACATTGCACTGTTGAGGCCAATGTCCGACAGTTTCACAGAAAGGACAAAAGGGTGACATTGTTTTACTTTTGGTAACTGATTTAGAATTCACATTAAAATTTTCTAAGGCGGATTTAATTGGATAGTCTGGAGATAGTGAACCTTTAATATTACTTGCAGTAATTGCTCCCTCGACCTCTTCGGATAAAAATTTCATTAATTTTGAAATATCGCTTTCGGCAAAATTTTCACGTTTGGCGTGCACAATCCAATTACGATAGATTTCATGAGGAAAAGCACGAAGTATTTTAGGAGCCAAAATTCTTCCGTATGACTGAGTTTTTTCTCCTAAAGCATCTAAAGCCTGTATTCTTCGATTACAATCAATATATAACTCATTTATTGCTGCTGGAGAGTGACTTTTGACAGGTTTTAGGTTTTCTAAATAATCGAGATGAGCCTGTATTATTTTATCTTTATCGCCATATTTTGATTTCAAAATATCCTTTGCTGTTGCATATGTTTCTGCAGTTATATTAATTCCATCAACTATTCGTTTTGCTTCTCCATCTAAATATCCCCGCAAAAAAAACATGCTTGTCAATCAGCGATAAACTTTCGTTTTTGTCGATACAGTTTTCAAAACGCTCCCAAAAACTATGGAATTCTTCAATTTCGCCGTAAAACGTATTTATTTTTATTGTAGGCAACTTTACATTTGAAGGCGAAGCTGAAAAATTATTTATATTGGCAGCTGTTGGCGATGTTTCAGAAATTGAATTCGTATTCCGATTCGCTGTTCTTTTGAAATTAAATAACGCCAAATGAGCATATTCTGTGTATCTTTCGCATTCTATTATGTCTTCCTGATATTCTCCATCATTTAAAAAATTATGTATTTCATCGTCTGCCGAGGTTAATTCTTTAATTTTATCTTGTAAACGTTCAATATTGTATTCCTTTCCAGTTTGTGTACTAGCAGCATCGTTCAATTTCGTCGTTAGTTTCGTAATGGCGGTACGTAGCGTTGTTCGTTTGCGTTTAAATATTACAAGTTTTTCACTACCGGTAGCCATTCCAATTCAGATTTTTGACGAAAGTAATTAAAACAAGTTTAGTATGACTTACCGAGTTATTTCGGCACCAAATGTTGAACTTTGTTGAGAGTAAATTAGACTGAAAGTCACGTAGAACAAACTGAAAACTTAACTTTTTCTTATATCAAAAAGAATATAAAAACAATAAGATGTTGCCAGCACAGGAAACTCAAAACTATCTAACTAATCTCGAACTCAAACCTCAACACAAGGGTTCAAAACTAGTTTCAACTTTTTCCAATAGATGGCGCCAAAAACTAAGAAAAGAATGAAACCGTGTTTTTAAACTAAACACCATTTGAAACAATGACATATTCTTTTCCATAAGAACGTGTGACAATGTTCTTTTATTTGTAAAAACAAAAACTGTTCATTGTTAATAGTAATCATATTTAATTTTGATTCAGCATAGTCTTAAAATATCAAATATAATTTTTGTCTAAAAATGACCAGCGGAGAATCCCCTTCCATTAAAAATGGAAGAAGATACATGATATAATGGAAAAAGATTATTTTTACCAGTGTTCAAAATTAACTACACATTTCATCAGCAGATGGCACCGATAACTTGATGAATAAAACAATTATTTTAAACTAGGCATCATTTGAAACAATGCCGTGGCTTAATCAACGTGGAACCAAAATTAACAGTTCTGGTGTATTTATTTCACCTAAATAGTCTGGCATAAAACAAAACCTTTTTCTATAGTTCTTAAAGTCAGAAGCCAACTTTAGAAGCTAATGATTTTGTATTAAAATAATCCTTAATGAGAAGAATTTTCTTAAGCAAAACTCGCCCAATCTCAAATATTTTTTGTCTTCTTCAAACTATTTAATAAACTGAAAAATAAAATTTATAATTAGTTTATTAATTTTTGTTTATTATTTTTTATTTATCAATTATTGTTTATTAATTTTCATTTATTAATTATTTTTATAAATTATTTTTCCTTAATTAATTTATGAAGGAAATTTATTAAATTAAACAATAAAATATTTTTTCACGCAAAATGCCTTCGCCAAAATTTTAGTTAAAATATTAAAATTTGATTTTCGTGTTAACTTGAACATATAACTTACTTTCGTTCTTTTTCCTAAAAAAAAAACCACGAAAAAAAAATAAAAAACTTCGCAAATCAAAAGTAAACATACAAAAAAATAACTCCCCATTAGAATAGAAGTTTTAAAAATAGAGTTTTTTAAAAGAATAGAAGTAAATCGAAAACAAGAAAAAGGAATGACTACAAATATACAATGAGAAAAAAGAGGCTTAGAGTTTAAATGTTCACTTTTGACATGCCGGCTTTCTACATTAATCTTAAAAAAAGAATATAACCTTGACAGAAGACCATTATAATAGATAAAACCAATGTACTATACATATTTCAGCTTTGAACATTACAGAGAGAATTTTTTTCATCCGAATAACATGGGGAAAATGGCCATTTTCCCGCAAAATGAACTTCAATAAAATAGTAGGTATAAAATATTATTCCATGTAAGAAATGATGTGAAAACTACATGTAAATCATTTTCTATTTTTATAGCTTTAAAATGCAATTTTTACATTTGTTATTTTCTCCTTTCTTTTAGTTTTGTAATCTAATGTAATTTAAGAATATTGTTGCATCGCGATAAAATACTTTATTTCGTCTAAATCGAAAAAGTATATTGTATTTGCTTTAAAATACGCATATTGTCCTGTTATTGCAAGAGCTATCGCAAGTTAAGAAAAGACCATTGCGTTATAGAATTTAATTAAACATTTGCGACTGCATAAAGTTTTGTGGCACTTAGTTACCAAATTACATAAATATGCTTTCAAAACAATATAAATGCTTTTAAAAGCTAAACTCATCGGACAAAGAGGTAATTAATGATATATTTTTCAAAATATATCGTAGAATTATTAAAAAAGGGTTACAGTTTCGTAATGTTTTTGAACATATCTTAATATCATAAATAGTCTTGCGACATATTTCGATAAACACATTAGTTCTGGAAAACGAAATGACTATATGACGCTGCAAGAGCATTGATTGGACCACCATAATTGTGGTGTCTTTTGCTGACATATCCTTAACAAATCAAATGGGTTTTTTTTTACTTTTGTTTTGTGGTTGAAGAAAATCGTTTGCAAGAAACGATATTTAATATTATTTCATCTGTTTCTTTAAAATTGTATCAGAGATACATATATTTGTTACGATTTTTAGATATTGTTTTTATTAATTCCTATCAACAAAACGATATGATAAGTTTTATTTTCCTCATTTCAGACGATTTAAAAAAGCAAGCAAAAAGAAGGCTGTGCAACCGTCGTTTCAAGAGTTGAGGATCTTGATTACGCTCGCGCTTAGAAATTAGCATTCTTAGAACTTGATGCTGACAGGCTCTCTCTCCGTATGGATAATGATTTATTCTTAACTTGCAACAGAGTATATTGACTTTCATTCAAATTTATTAGAATTAATTACTTTTAGTTTAAAGTAAAATAAATCGTTTTCTTTTTTACAGCTTTTAAAATAAACATTTAAATCAGTTTCTTTTTCCTTTTTCTGTAATAATATGGTATACTATAGCCTACGTCACAGATCGTGTTATTCCTACTAAATTTAACTAGTAAACAGCATTTTCTGCGAACCTGATTTCTAGCAACAAGTAAAAGCATCAAACGAAGTGTCTTGTTATAAGTCGCTACTCGCCAGGTTGGAATTGTATTAGTCTAGTTCCTTTGGAAATAATTTATATTGTTGTTTTACTGAAGTTTATGAATTTAGTAAGCATATTTAAAACTCAGTTTATTAATTAAACTAAAAGGTAAATGTTATTCCTAGTAAGTGAAAGTAGTTGTGCTTTTTTCATATTATACCTAATTAGGAGATGTAATTAGGAACAATCTGATGCAATTAAGCACAATGTTGCGTTGCGATAAATTCTTGATAGAATTCCTTATTTCACCTAAATTCAAAAAGTATACTGTATTATTTGCATGAAAATATGGCATATTGTCCAATTATTGCGATAGCTAATTGTTTTCGTTCAATTTTATTTGAATGAACTGCCTTTAGTTTAATTTTAAGTAAATAAATAATCACTTTCTTTTTTTACTGATTTTAAAGGAAGCATTTATATCTTTTCCTTTCCATATTTTCTTTTGGAATTTAACATAATTTAGAAACAGTGTTGTACTGCAATAGAATTCTTTAAATCTAGATCCAAAAGGTGGATCCAAAAATTTGGATCCAAAAATTCATTGTATTTGCTATAAAATAGAATACATCGTTCAGTTATTGTAATAGCTACTTACTTTTATTTAAATACATTTTGATTTATGACTTTCGTTTTAATTACTTTTGTTCCTCTAATTTATCTTCACATACCGATATATACTGATCTATACATAATTTAGTAATTTTTTTATCGGTAAATTCAGATAATTTATTTAAAGAATTAATTCATTTTCATAAAGACATTTTAAAACTCTTTCCACAGAGCTACAATATTAATCATCAGAGTTGGCCGTTGATTACAGTAA